GATGAGTCCCAAGAACATTCAGGGAACTAAGCCAGTCACAAAAAGTCAGATACATTTGATTGCACTTACATGAGGTGCTCAGAGTAGTGAAACATCACACAAAACAGGAGGACAGTTCCAGGAGCTGAGGGAAAAGAGGACTTAAACCCCAGTATGATGGAGGAAAGACACAGAAGAATCAGGAAGTGAAGTTGGAGCCAGGTAGATAAATACTTGGAGTATTGCAGTGGGAAATATATCCTTAACTCAGCAGGCAGCAGAAAGCCACTGCAGACAATGTAGATCTAACCTGAACTCTTCTGAGTGACCTCAACAGTCACCTTGTCACTGGCCATGTAGCTTCATGGGCTCAAGTTCCTTTGCTTACCACTGACCAATCAAAGGAGGCTATACATTTTGGTAAAAAGGAAAAAAGATTTGTTCAGAGCTGGCTCCCAGGAGATAGAGGGGCCCATTCCCTCAGGTCTCCCATGTATAGGTTGGTCAGGGTCTTTAACAGTAAGGAACAGAGGGAGGAGGAGCAGAGACTATGCACATCTCCAACTTGCTTTACCACTGCCAGGCATCTTCAGCTCCTCCTTTTTGGGGGGGGGGGGATTTTTGAGGCAGGGTCTCACTATGCATCCCAGGCTGGCAGCGATCCACCTGCCTCAACCTCCCAAGTGCTGGGATTAACAAGCCTGCACCACCACGCCCCGCTCTCCTCTTCCTCTTTTCTTGTGAAAAGGCAACAGAATTCCAGACTCTCATTTGGGGGCAGGGAAGAGGAGGAGGTGTTGGTTCTGCACTCATCAGGAGGGACTTTGAAGTGGCTTATCTCTAAAAGAAAAAAATCCTCACTTTTTAAAAATTTACTTTTAATTTTAAGGTGTTAGGTGTGATAGCCAACCCCACTCCATCTTGTGCTTCAATGTCATTTTATACCCGTGCTTGAAGAAAGTGCTTGCACATGAACAAAGCACCCAGGACCCCCCCATCCTGCTTGGCAGTAAACTTGCTGCAGTTGCAGGATGTTTTGTAGCTCACCTAGTGTGTGTGAAACTTCCTTGCCCCCCCCCGCCCACTAACCTGACATGGTTCTGCTTCTGTAAGATTCTGCTTGCTCTCCCCTGAGCCCTCCCCAGCTGAAAGCATGATGTAAAAGGAGAAATCAAACTGCTTCCCGTGGCCGAGGAACCATTCTAGGGCGCTAGCCCCACCCCCCAGCCACCGGCTGTAATAAATGGGCTCGAGTCTGGCACAGAGTGGCGCATCTCCACTGTCCGAGCTCGCTCATTCACAACACAAACAGCCCAGCTGCCCTTCCCTCCTCAAGACTCTAGACAACAGTTTAAGTCCAGGTGGCCGCTCCTGCTGCTTCCCCTCACTCCTGCTGCTTCCATTTCCTGTTGCACCATCCTCCTCTGTTCAGCTCTGCACAGCAACGCTCCTTAGACACATCCGCTGGTCACTGCTTCTCATTTTCCTCGGTCCTGGAATGGCTTTGTTTCGTGCTTCCTCCTGAAGGCTATCTACACTAGATATGCAACCTTGAGTGGACAGTTCTTTCCCCATTCACAGAATGTGCTCCTTCTTGCCTCCATTTCTGAGAAATCCAATTATTCGAAGTAATGTTTCTTTATACAGTGGATCCACAACTGACCCGACATACAAACAACGTGGGTTACCACCAGATTTTAGTTTTACCTTACAAAGTCTTGAGTTACAACCTGAATACCAGTCACTTGTGCTTCCAGATGGTCTTTATTTTGGTATTGAGGATCAAACTCAGGACTTCCCACTTGCCAGGCAGGTGCTGTGCCACTGAGCTACATCCCCAGCTCAGACAGATTTAACCCTGAAGAGCTCTGGAAGGAGCAGGACGGCACCCTCTCCTGTGGGGCTGAGGAACCCTGGGCCAGTTCTAAGGACACTGAGATCTGCCTGTGCACAGGAGACTTTGAAAGCGGGGTACAGGAGCCTGACCTTCAATTGACCAACTAGAGTTACAACCAGCCCTGGCAAATGAATGGAGTTCGTAAGTCAAAGGTCCACTGCAGTAACATATTTTCTCTAGCTGCTTTCAGTATCACTTTAGTTTTCACCAGTTTCATTACCATGTTTCTGGGTGTAGATCTGAGTTTCTTGAATCTAGAGGTTTTTCTAACTACTTCAATTACTTTTTTTTTGGTACTGGGGATCGAACTCGGGTCCTTGTGCTTACACAGCAGGCCTCGAAACCACTGAGCTAAATCCCCCGCCCCATTCAATTACTTTTTGCAGCACCACCTTTTCTCCTCTTTCTGGAATTGTGATGGTACAAATGTTATCTTTTATTACTTTTTTATTATCTTTTATTACTGTTTCACATGTCTCTAAAGCTCTGTTCATGGTTTTGTGCTTTTTCCAAATCTTTCTGTATAGATTATATAAGTGGTATTGGTTTATCCGACTCTTCACTGATTCTTTCCTTTACTCTGCTATAGCATACTATGCAGTATGCTTTTGTTACTGTAGTTTTCAACTCTAAAATTTCCACCTAGTTTTTGTCTTTTCTTAGTTGAGACTGTGCTTTTTCCACTGATTTCAAGTGTCCACGATTCCCTGTAACATGTTTTAAATGGCTGCTTTAGGGCCAGATGATGCCTGAATTTGATCCCCAGTACCGCCAAAAAAACTGCTTTGATGTCTTTGTCACATCATTCTAACACCTGTGACATCACAGTGCTTTGATCTACTTCCTGTAAGAGCTGAGATTTTTCCATTTCCTGGTCTACTGAGTAATTCTGGATTGTAGCTTTGACATTTTGACACTGCTCTTACACTGGCTCTTGTTTAAGTCCTATGGAGAGGACTGAATTTTGGTTTGATTCTGCAGTCTTGCTGGGTTTAGGCACCAAGTTCCAGTCACTCTCTGCAGGCTGTGACTCCAGTGTGGGTCCAACCTCAAACCTCTGCGGGTGACCCAGACCCATGGCAGGCCACCATCTCAAAGGGGCCAGCCTGGAGCCTGGTAGGGCTCAGTTAGCTTGGCTCTCAATCTTCAGTTTGAGAGAGAAACTGGATCCACAGCTGCATGGCTAGGGGTGAACACAGGTGTTCCTAACAGCTTTAGAAGGTCTTTTTTCCGTGACAGAGCTCTGTGCTCTCCCCAGCTCTTCCTGGTTCCCTCTACCTGTTCTCTGGCAATGACCTTCTGCTGCTGCACTTCTATCTGAGCCAGATGGGTGGAGGACAGAGTGAAGCAACGAGGACTGCTCTAGCCTCTCGGAAACACAGGAGACTACCGAGGCTCTCAGTTCAGGTACTCAACAGTGTCACTTCCATGGGCCTGCCTGGAGGGTGGGATATAACACAGAAAAGGAAAACAAAACAACAGGGTTCCTGCCTTCTCTCAGAGTGCTAGAATCCCCCCTACCCCACCCCGTAGCACTCCCTCTGTACTGAAGTCCTCATTTCCAAGTTTCCAACATACTAAGTTTTGGCTACAGGATACCAAAGAGGGAAAAGAACACCAATCCTCATCACTGGTTCAGCAGTACTCCAATTTCTAGTCTTCCTCAATCCACCTGGTAGGGTGTTCTTTTCAGAGTGCCTGAGCAGCAGTCACAACAGGCGATTCACAGCGGAGCATGCTCATTCCGTCTTATATTGGACCATATTAACTAGTACTTGTTTTTCTGTTGTTTTTTGAGACCAGGGTCTAAGTTGCCCAGGCTGGCGCTGATCTTGCAATGCTCCTCCTTTCTTCTGCCTCATGAAGGAGCGGCTGGAATTATAGGCATGACCACCACACCCTGCTTCCTGTTTTAAGAGGAAAAACCCTAAATACCAACTTACCGTTATTGCTACAAGGCATTTAACAGAAGAGACAAACGAGAAAGGTGCAACCAACATTGTGTTGGGATTTCCTTTTTTGTTTTTAGCAAAACAAGATCTGCTCCTTATAACTTTGTGCAATTCACTTCTCTCCCAACTACTCATTCTGAATTAGTTTTGGAACACTTTTTTTTGAGACAAGATCTCAATAAATAGTTCAGGCTGGCCTTGAACTCACGGAGATCCTTTTGCTTAAGCCTCCCTAGTGCTGGGATTTCAAGGGTATATGACCATACCTGGCCCCAGAACACTTTCAAGACTGGTACCATCACACAGCCGGTGGTATCTTTTTCTAAGAGTAAAAGAAGATACCAACTCTAAACTGCTGCCAACACTGACTCTAATCAGTGACTTGGAGCTATGACTAAAGGATTTTATGTTTTTATGATAAGAAGTTGTCGGGCTAAGTAATCCCTGAAAGGGAGAAGTCGAAACTTGACAATACAGAATGTATGTAGCCTAACAGAAAAATTGATGGGGTCTGCTCCAAGTAGAATGCAACCTTTGACCAAATGTATGACAAAAACAATCTGCTAAAACTAAATCCATGAAAGTGAGATTACAGCAACTACGTAAGTTTCTGGTTTTAAAAAACAATCAGGGTACAGGTATTACACTGAGGTGTTACCCAGCCTGAGTCTAAGAACACAGAACAGCCAAGATTCAACCCAGGAAGTCTGACTTGGACCCTCCATCCCAAACACTCTGCGACAACCTACAGGGACTCAAGGAGCCCAAACACCAGGCCTCCCTTCCAGGGTGTCTCTACGAAGCAGTGTTAGAATATAGAAGCTATAAAAGAAAAAAGGTCATCCTTGCCAGCCCCACCCTAATTAATGGCGGGGGGGGGGGGGGGATGATCCTATATTACCTGCCACAAATTTCCTGATTCAAGGAAACAATCCTGTCATCTGCATACAGCTCTGAGAAAGCTGTATAATAAAAAAGTACTGTGAAAAATATCAAAAACATCTACTTGTAGTATTACTGCAGTCACTTTAGAGTAAATGAATATACACTGGTCAAGAAATGACTAACTCAGGAGAGATTAATAACTTCAACAAAACATTCACCGCCTGCTGAGCAAGCGCAAGGACCCGAGTTCGATCCCGGTACCAAAAAAACACTTCAACAAAACAAAATATATTTATGTACTATTTTATTTAACGATCTCTCTGAAACATGTAAAAATTCTTATGGCTAATGTAACTTTCTATCCTAAAATGTTATTCACTGAGATGAATCTCTACAGAAAACATTTTAATGCAGTGCCAGCATTTAACTCAGAGGAATCTACCTGTGAACATTACCTCTGGACAGCAAAATGAGATTACAGATACAGGATAAACACAACAGCTGTGATAGCCATACTTACCATCTTAGTTATAGGCAAAATGGGCAAAGTACCAGAGCACAAAGATTTAACAGCTAGAATACTCTGCAGTCCTTCTGAGAAACTACAGGTGGGAAACACGTAGTAAATTATCTGTCACACTGTGGTCCAGTCCACCACAGGAGTCATCATTCTGCCCATGGATTCAGATGACTGCTTCTGTTTTTCATCATTGAAAACTAGATTCAAAGTCAGTCATTGCTCAACAAGCTAATGATACTACCAATTAAAATACAGTTTAAACCCAGAAAGCTTAAGGTAAAGCACACCTGCTACTCATATCTACTTTTAGACATAATTGAGACTACACTACTAGCAATTAAACTTTCTGATTAAAATAATTCAGATTAATACTGTGCAGTTAATTCCAGTTATCGTATATATTTATTGGTTATCAACAGTGCAAGTTTAGGCTCCAAAGAAATATAACGATCCACTAAAATGATTACATTTAATTTTCTCTTAAAGGCAGATGAACTAAATTTAAGAACTGGCTCTTCTTGGTATTTCATTTTGAAATTACTGATACATATTTACCAGAGAAACACTTATACATCATTCTGCCCAACATCAAATTAGTTTCTAAGATAGATGCATTTCTTGTTCAATTTCCAAAAACTGATAGTTCTCTAACACTTATATTCCACAGCTCTAAGATAAACATTAAAAAGAAAATACAAAAAAATGACCTCTCGGCTTCTGAACAGCCCACTCAGTTACAGAAAGGATTTTCTGTCCCAGTACTTTCCCACTTTCAAAAGATATTTACTTCCTACAAACAGAGTCTCCATTTCATACTGTCAGTCTGTTTCCATAGCAACACTGCGGGACTCCTTGGCTACCATAAGTCGCATCAGCTGACTGTGGAACTTCTCAATCTTCTTCACATCTTGGGCTTGATCTGTTCTGTACACCAAACACTGTCCAAAATTTTAAAAGCACACATTAAGTGAAACTAGACAACGGCAGTGTAGAAAACATAACTGAGTAAAATACGTTACAGCCTCTCCTACCATTGTTTTTCTCTAATTTCTCCGGAGGCCACAATCCTCCAGGAATTACTCTCAAATGCCCAATCCTCCAGGAATTACTCTCCTTAAACACAGTATTTTAGCCAGGTGTGCTGGTGAGCTTGTAATCCCGGCACTCTGGGCGGCTGAGGCTGGAGGGTCACAAGGTTGAGCCCAGCCTGGGCAGCTTAGCGAGACCCTGTCTCAAAATGAAAAATAAAGAGGGAGCTGGAGATGTACTTAGTGCAAAGACCCTAGTTTCAACCCCTAGTACTACAAAAAGAAAAATAGGGCTGGGGATGTAGCTCAGTGAGACCATGCCTGGCCGGCAAGCACAAGGTCCTGAGTTTGGTACCCAAAAAAGCTAGTTTTTAAATGCCACTGCTATAGATGAAAAACTACAAACTCCATCAGAAAGTTCTCAAAAATGTCAAATGCTTAGCCAAGCGTATGTATGGCATTATCAGGGACCTGCCATGACCCTTACAGAGTGAGAAACAACGGTGAGAGATTAAGAAACTTAAAGAAAAAGACAAAGATGACAGTAAAGTTTACATAGCTGAGGCCAGGTGGAAACTCTTTGTCATGATGAGACAAAAAACTGGCTTGTATCCTCAGCACCTTTATTTATAATACAGATAAAAAAATCAAAAGATGTCTAATTAAAACAAAAAAAAATGGCTAGGGTCTACAAGAGATAATGGTTGATGTTCTTCTGACAAATGGATAAAAAAAGAGTCCCTTCTTGGCCCAGGCCTAGGCCTGGCCATAGTGATCTATAACACATCGCTCTCAACAGAGACCAATATACATTTTTCCAATAAATAGTGTACATGAGACCAACAGAAAGGAAGAGGCCAGATATGACCCTGAATTTCTCACCAGGTGGTACTATAGCTAAAGGTAGGAAGAGGAGTCAGATGGAGAAGACTGGACATGCTCCACTCTGCACAGGCTAGCTTTGAGGGGCAACCAGGTAAAGACACTCAACAGGAGTTAGTCAGATATCAGAAGTTAAATAGGAGCTAAACATACAAATTTGCAGGTAGACAAAGATATGGGCAGTACTGGGCTTGACTTAACATACTACTTCCGAAGAGACTGAAAAGACAACCAAGGTCAGAATCCTGGGGAAACAAATATTTAGGGTGGGGCACATCAAAGAAATAATTAGCAAAGAAAAATAAAAGAACAGGAAAAAAAAAAGAGCCAAGATTAAATGGAGGCACAAGTGCCAAAACAGTAATTTTCATGAGTGGTCTTCCTACCAAAAGCAGCAAGACAGAGCAAACTATAAACTGCTGAGACCACTGCTTTGAAAATTAAGGCACAGTTTATGAACTCTCACCAAGAGCAGGCTCAGTGAAATCTGCCCCGAGAAACCAATGAAAGCAGGCTAAAAAAATGAATGGTCTGGGGCCAGGGATTTAGCTCAGTAGTTCAGCCACCTGCCTCAAAAGCGCAAAGTCCCAAATTCAATCCCCGGTACCAAAAAGAAAAAAGAATGAATGGGCCATGAGAAAGCAACACTGAGATCAGGAAAGGAGAGGACACAGCAGGGATGGAGAACCCTTTAGAGCTTTCAGTGACACAAACAGCTTGCTGCCCTGTAGGTTTGTCACCACTGAGATAGGTGACATCAAATACACTGTTTACTCTCACACATGAAACATGAAACCTTTACTCCCTGATACCTACTTCTGGTGTCTATTATCCTCTTGCTTAAAGTGAAGAGAACAAATGTTAAGCCATGCCCACATAACTACCTCAAGGAACCAAGTTAAATTATCTCCTGAGGGTGTGACTATAAAAGCAGCTTCTCAGCCAGGTGTGGTAGCCCATACCTGTAATCCCAGCACTTGGGAGGCTGAGGCAGGAAAATCAAAGCAAGTTCAAGGCCAGCATGGGCCACATAGTGAGTTCAAGGCCAGTCCTGAACTACATAGCAAGACCCTCTCTCAAACAAGTAAAAGCAGCTTCTAAAATTAAATTCTTCAAAGGAAAGCAGGGAATAGAATTAATATGAGAAAATGAAAAAATGGAAATAAAGTCTTTGTAAATAGGGAGGGATGGAGGGGTTGGAGGGCAGGGGAAGGGGGAAAAAATAAGAACCAAGAGAGTATGTAAAGGTGCATATCTCCAATGATGAATGTCATTATACTGTACACCTAAAATGTACCAATGAAAGGCTATACAAAATAAATAAATAAATAAAATTAAGTTCTTCATACTGGAATGAAATGCAAAATAAACATCCCAATGGCTAATCTGCATAAATTCTATATAAACAATCTCAAACAAATGATTAACTCAATCATACATCTGTAAGTATTCAACAATAAAAATCTATACTTACAACTAAATCATCTGTTACTTTAATACATAAATTCCCATCAGCGTGCCTATATTTGAGAACCACCCGTGCCTGAAATAAAAATACATATTTAGAAGCAATACAGATAGATAACGTTTCTCATAAATAATTTAGTCTTCAGGTGGACTAAAGAGGATCTTTTCAGAATACCCAAGATACCTTAGACATCTTTACTGTAATCTTATCATTACTGAAATGAGGTAAAAATAAAACAGCCATTTCAGTTCATTCCTGTTGCTACAATTTATTTTCCTATAGTCTTTTTAAAAAGTTAAATATATTGTATTTGCAACCAACCTGAAGAGATGTACTAAACATTCCCAAACGCACCACATTCAGGGAATGTCTGTGAGGCTCTAGGACTATCTGGCCTTTCTTGCCAGTAATTACATACAACAACATAACCAGCAAGAGAGGAACAACATGAAAAGAGAAAAAAACCATCAGCACATACAGCTTCTTAAAAAGTCCAAACCCATCCAGGAAACAGTGCTGCCACACGTTCATACTTTCTACTTTTCTACAGCTCCAGGAAATGGATTTAGACTAAAGGATTCAGTTAAATAATTCATAACATGATGCATTACTTTTAAGCTGAATTCTGCCTTGAAAATTAGTCTGCATCAACAACTTCTTCCAAAACTAATAAACTCCCATACCAAGTGCCATGCTATATAATTCTTCTTCCTTTTTTTTTTTTTTTTTTTTGAGACAGGGTCTCACTATGGAGTTCAGGCTAGCCTTGAACTCACTATGTAGCCCAAACTGGCCTTGAAATCTCAGCAATCCTCCTGCCTCAGCCTCCTGAGTGCTGGGATTACAGGTGTGCACCACACCCGGCTGCATAATACTTTCTGTTGTTCAGTAGAGTTGAGCAGTCAAGACAGGGTTCTGAGATTAGCATGTCCCTCCTGTAAGACAATGCCTTGATGATGGCTGTGAGCAAGACATGTTGCAGCAGCAGGTTTTTGCTAAGTACCATCAGTAACATTTAGCCAGGGTTTTGTTTTAAACACTGTAAGAATCTATAAGCCAAAACAGGAACATAATTTAAAAATGGTTCCAATGTAGTACCAGAAACCTCAAGACAATTCTGGATAGCAAATAAAAAGGACTATTGAAGTTAAACCCTACGTTCTTTGCATTCCTGAGATTGCAAAAAATGTTACATCTCCATGAAATTTGTCTTGGTGAGGGAGAAACAGGTGTGAACTTAACAAGAATTTAGGTACACATTCAAAATAATGACATTATGTTTAGAATGTGACCTACTAAACTCACTTTTACATACTTTAAGAAACTCAGCTTTCTACAAACAAAAAGAAACTAAACTTTTAAAATATAATACATGACAATTATGCAAAGTTTTAGCTGTTAGTTAAAAGAATATTCTCTAGTTTCATTAGGAGAAATGAGTTAAAAGAACTGTATTTTGTCTACCCGGTGGGAACATACAGGCAAAAATCCTATACAGTCTGATGATACAATGCTTGATTTAAAAAACAAACGGCTCTGCAAGGAAAAGGAAAACCAGCAATCATCAGAGTCAGAAAGTCCTCAATTTCAAAAAATAGCCATTTCACCGTTTATTACATACCTATAAAATAAGCTATTACTGTATCACTTTAAGAATGGCACTCAAAATATTTTGCTTCTTGCTGCTTATCTGTGTCTTTCTATGGACCCGACCCCCCCACCCCTACCTCATCGAACTCAGGATCTTGCGCTTGCAAGGCAGGCGCGATGCCACTGAGCTAAATCCCCTGCCCAGGGCCTATTTTTAATTATAACAACGTATGTTGGTGCACAGTTTAAACTAATGCTCATTACAAATAATGTAGTGCTGGAGTTACCGGTTACCAGAACAATGTGTACCTTGAAAACAGTTCTTGTTATGTATTGATCATTAAATATCTCACATAGTAACCTTGAGTGCAGTTTCCTGAGATTTATTAACTGGTTTTTATTTTCTTTCTTTCCAAAGGCCAAGTTCACAGCACGAGTACCTAACACCAGCTCCTAAGGGACGAGCGATCCTTTTGTCTCCCCTTTGGTGACAAGGGAAAGAAAATCACCGGCAGACCTTTCATGCAAACGGCGTTATTTTGAGGAATGGGTCTGAGCATCCTCAGATTTTCAAAAAGTCACTGACCCCGAAAAGGCTGAGAACGCCTATCCCAGGGGCACTGGTGCTTCCAAACGGACCCGAGGACTATCTGAGCGTCAGCGGAAACCATCTCCACCCGCACCCGCACCTACGACGCGCCGGAGCGTCCCGGAGGCGGGAGCCCAGCATCTGCGCAGCAGCCGCGGGGAGGCCCAGCAGGGAGTGGGCAAGGCTCGGCAGGCTCCGCGCGAGCTCGCCCCCGCACCGCCCGCACGACCGGGCAGCTCCTGCGGCCTGAGCACGCCCCGCCGGCGACTCACTCTCATCGGGTCCGCCAGGTAGAGCTTCTCGGCCGCGCGGCTGAACTCCTCCCAGGTCTGGTACTGCGGCATCTCGGCCGGGACGCGGACTCTCGGCTGCCTGCCCACCGACCGCCGACCGCCCGAAGATGGCGGCGTCTCCTGTAACAACCCCTCTCCCCATTGGTTGGGCAGGCCGCGCTCGACCAATAGGCGTGAGGGATGTTGCCGAGCCGGTGGCTGTGCGGGCGGGTGCAGAGGTTGTGGCCGAGACGGCGGCGGGCACAGCGCGCACTGCAGGACTACAGGAGCAGAGCCTGTCCGGCTTCCTTCCGCGGACCCAGCAGGGACGAGGGGATCTGGCTGTGGTTCTTCGCCTGGGGAAGAAGGGGGGAAACTTTCCAAGGCAGTCATTGGCATTGGTACTTCTTTGCTTGGGATGGGGCTGGACCTTCCTCTTCCTAGACAGGACTGTGGAGCTGTGCCCTTCAGGTAATCGATGACTTAGAAAGAAACCTTTTAAATAAAGTTTACTAAGGAATATTTTACGCATAATAAAACACACAGCTTGATGCACTGTGATCCTGGGTATATGCACCTGCCCAACACCACAGTCAAGATGTAGACTGTCTCGTCAGCTCCAGGAAGTTCCTCTGTACTTCTGCATATTCAGAACCCCTACACCCACCCATGGTCCCATGGATATACTTTATACTACTATGGCTTGAAGCAGATTTGCTTCCTTCTGTGGCTGGGTTTTACTGTGTTGCCCGGCCTGGCTTCAAACTCCTATGCTCAAGTAATCCTCCTGCCTCAATCCCCTAAGTGGAAGGGAATGCAAGTGTGCATTTTATAGGGCTGCGGCAGTGGGGCAAGCCTAACCTAAAGCAGTGCAATCCCGGAGATTGGAGACCTCTTAAGGTGTTATTGTAGTGACACAGACATAAGAGGCCATGGATCTGGCTTGAGGCACCAGCTTGGGGGTGGCAACAACACAGATTTGAGATCTGTTTGGTGAACGATTGGATATGGGGCACATAGAAGAGGAAAAGGTAGAGGCTGACTGGAGAGGTGGTGACGTCATTGACTGATACGGGCGGGGGGGGGGGAAGAAGTTTAGGGGATGTTGGGGGAGATAGTGGGTTCAGTTCTGGATGTGAGGGGGATGAAATTTCTTTGGTATATCCACGTGAGATGTCTGATAGCTGAGCTAAGGGTCTCAGTATTAGAGTTCAGGATTGTTTTGCAGTTTGAGTTCTCAGTAGAGAGGGCAGAGTTGAGAAGCTGTAGTGTAAGGAGAGAAGACTTGGACAAACCCTGGGAAACAGTCACATTGACAAAGTTTTAGAAGGCATAGAGTCCACTAGGGAAGCAGAGTAGATGCTAAGAGAGATAAAAAAAAGACTAGGATTTTCTGGGGAGTGAAGAACCAAGAGGGTTTTGAGGAGGTAGCAGTCAGTGTGTACAATGGCCGATAGGGTAAAGTACAGTGAGAACCAAAATGAACTGGTTGACTACACTAGGGACCTGGACCAGCGGAGTCTCAATTGCACTAGGGGTCTCATTGGAACTGACCGTAAGAGCTGAAGAGGTAAGAAATTGATGGCCATTGCTTTATACTGTTCTGTAGATGACATCTCTCACCAGCAGAAGAGGTAAAGTGTCCACAAAGAGACACGAGGGAAAGAAAAAGTGGTTTTGTTTTTTTTTTGGTACCAGGGATCGAACTCAGGACCTTGCACTTTTGAGGCAGGTGGCAGAACCACTGAGCTAAATCCCCGGCCCAAAAGTGGTATGTTTTAAGATGAAAAGATTCTGTCATCTTTATAACTTTCATGGGAAAATTCAGAAAGATGGAGACATCAAAAACACAGGAGAAAGAAGAACAAAAAAATCTCAGGGGAAACATGAAGGGGAGGAACAAAGACCCAGAGCAGTGAAAACAGCAGGTTCCCACTGCCTCTGATGTAGAGGGGAAGAGGAAAGGGGTGGGTAAGGGGTATGAGCAGGTATGCAAACACAGGGACAAGAAGGTATATTCTCTTCGTCAGACAAGAAACAAGACCATCTTCTGACTGGGAGGGTAGGGGTAGGTTTGGTGCCTTAAAATTTGGAAAAGCCATTGTAGGGAGTTAGTCCATTGGGTAGAGCTGAAAGCTGAGATTGAAGGTGGTCTCTGGGAATAGCCTTCCGTAGGTCTGTCCCCAGGGCCACCAGAATCCTAGTTGCAGCATGGGAAGGTGGACACTAGGATTTTTAGGGTGCATAAAGCAGAACAAGAAGTCAAGAACATTGAGAACACCAACAAGAGAGTGCTTGAAGTGATAAATCATGGGATCCAGGCTAGATAGATAAATCATGACATGCAGGCTAGATAAGCCAAAAGAGAAAGGTTAAGGGACAAGATTTCAAAGAAATTTGAATATAATCAGAGGAACTGAAGTTATAGTTGAATACTGGAATTTATTGTTTTAGAGGAGCGGTGGTTCCTGATGATGCTGGGTTGCTAGTTGGGTTGTCCACAAAAGTATTAAAATCACTTATGTATAAAAAAAGGGGATAAGGGGCCAGGGATTTAGCTCAGTGGTTTCGCCGCCTGCTGTGCAAGTGCAAGGACCCGAGTTTGATCCCCGGTACCAAAAAATAAAATAAATAAAAATTTTAAAAGAGGATAAGATGAAGTCTGTGAGCCAGGAGCCTAAATCCTCAGTTAATGGGAATGGGGTTTTGGAAGAGGGTCTCTACTGGGGTGTGGGAGCCATAGAGAACAATGAAAGACTCATTTCCATTGTGAAGTCTCCAGTATCTCAGAGCTCAGCCCATTCCAGCTTCTGAAGAGGAATAGAAATCAAGATGAGGAAGTAGAGGAACTGTTCTTGATAATACAAATGCTGCCAGCTACCCAAGATGCATTCTTTAAAGTAGGTAATTCTTTTCCAGCTGTGGAGACATAGCTTCCAAAAGGCTATCAGAGAGTGTCCTTTATAAATTTCTCACACTGGCACAATGTGGGAAAAAGAAAAATTTCTTTCATCTCAGGAAAAGCAGGGCCTGTATAATTTTGCAGTTGTCCTTTCTGCTTCATTTCTATATAGGCGTCTCATTTGAGCCTTAAAGCAACTTTGTAGGGTGGTTGTTACCACAGTTCCAAAAATCTAAAAAGCTCTAGAAGACAAAAATATCTTGACAACTCCTTTGGTGAAAAACTTGGCCTGACCTTCACTAGAGTTGTTTATATTTGATTTATCCTACTTGGTAACCATGTGTGATTATAGGGTGGAGCCTAGGTCCAACTGGCAGTGGTATATATTACATGGTGCACACTCTGTGTTATCTTTCTAGACTATAACAGGCTGTCTTTAATGCTAATCTTTTCAACAACCATGCTGTCCTTGGCCCCAACTTTACACCACTTTCTCTCAGGCTAATCTGAAAATTTTTCACATCTTAAAGCTTTGCTCCTTATTCTCAGTATAAATCTGGCTAAAAGCACCCACCAGTATCCATGCCTATAGCCTGGACATTGGGCTGGTTTGAAATTTCCCCCACTGGATTAGTCTACCACCTTCAATTTTAACCTCATATAAAATCTTAGGTCATGGGCCAAATGAAGATAAGCTCTTTGCCAGAAAGTAACACACATTATCTCTAGTTCATTTTACAGTAGAGCCCTCATTCCCATCTGAAACATCCTGAGTCTGGCCTTTACTGTCCCCATTCTTATCAACATTTTGGTTTTCTATGGGGCCAGGGATGTAGCTCAGTGGCGCTATGCCTGCCTGGCAAGCGCAAGGTCCTGAGTTCAATTCCCAGTACCTCCCCTCCAAAAAACCCCCCAAAACAAAAAAAATTCTGGTTTTCTGAGCTCCAACCAGAATCACCCATCAAGCGGAGCTTACAGCATTCTAAGTCTTCTCTAGCCAGTATCTTCAAACCTTTCCAAACTCCTCATAAACTAGTTCCCAAAGGCTTCTGAACCACATGATCAGGTAGAGTCACAGCAAAGACCCCACTCTTGGTATCAGTTTTCTGCATTAGTCATTTTCCCATCATTGGGACAAAATATCTGACACCCACAATTTAAAGGAGGAGGGGTTTATTTTGGGTCACAGATTTAATGGGTTTAGTCCATGGTTGGTTACCTCCAAGGCATGAATGGCCTAGTGGAAGGGCTGGTGGAGGAAAGCTGCTCACTCCACGGTGGCCAGGAAGCAAAGTTGGGGGGGGGGGAGCAAGAACACCCCCTTACAGGTCATGCCCCCAGTGATCCAAGGCCCCTCCTCTGAATGTTCAGCCCAGCACACATGGCCCAGGGCTTTTTCAGCTAGATCACTCAGCTGCATTTGAGACCACTGGCCACCCTCTCATCCCTAAGCTTCCCATGCCCTTGGACTTTGGGGCCCCATTCTGTCTCACTGCTCCTGCCCCTCTGACCTTTCCTCCTCTTCCTCCCCGATCCTTCAGCCTTGGAGTCCCAAGGAACCAGGCTTTGCTTTGGTTATTAACTTCTCAACTTTTCCCTAGATGACTCCTGTGGGTTTTAACTACCATATCCGTGCTGTAGGACTTCTGAATTTGTACTTAGTCCAGACCTCTTCCCTGAGCTTCAGATTCAGGTCTACCAGGTCCTAGGCTAACACTAGAGTTGAATTTTGGGAGATGAAAACAATTTCTCAGCAAATCTAGACAATGTCTAAGCAATAAATGTGATATTTCCTTTCTTTAAACTTAATTTATTATTACTGTTGGCAAATTATTAGCTACTTATGTACTACATTTGACCGTTAGGAATTTAATAGCTGTGGATTTCAGACTTTTTGCAGGCCAGTCATTGTGTTGGTGAAGTATTTTAAGAGCTAATGAGGTCAGGAACAGACATTAGGGCAAGTTCACAAATACCTATAAATGAAGCAGAAAGCATGTCCCAGCAGGGAGGGAGCAACCTAAACTCTAAACTCTGACAGTACCCGTGTTTGATTTCCCTTTGATTTGTCTCCCCAGTCCCTTATTGGGCTGGTAAGTCAAGCAGGATGGGAAGGAGGTGGTTCTTTTTTTCCCTTTTTTTCTGTTTTTTGGGGGTTTTGTTTTGTTTTGTTTTATTGGTATGGGGATCAAACTCTTGCAAGGCAGGCAGCGGAACCCCGAACTAAATCCCCGGCAGAGGTGGTTCCTTTTTAAATGGGATGGGTGCCGCATGGGGATAGAGCACTTGCCCAGCATGCACAAGACTCTGGAT